CCCTGCCTATGGAATTTCACTGACCTCAGGACATGGAACTCACTTGATTGGCTCCACCTCCACTACTTTCTTTGGGGATAAATCTGAGACCAACAGGCAATCAATCATTTCTGTTACCTGTACTGTTTACAAATACCCCATCTGGGGCCTCCAATGTTACCAGCGTTTTTGGGCTCTGGTGTTTTCCCCTCAACTTCTACCTCTTTGATCAGGGTAAGAACAATCAAAGGAAACTTGACTTCCTCCACAGCTAACATGGGCTACCACATAGACTGAAAGAAAGGGAATCGAGGGGAAAACAGAAACACAAGTACTTCTGACCCAGAACTTCGAAATGGATCAGTCCAGACCGCCTCTCTAGAAGCCTCTATAGTTTCACAGGTCACTCCCCTAAACCAAGAAAGGAAATCTCTCTTTCCTATCTTCAGTGACATTCTTCACTAAAAAATAATAAATTTTATAAAGAAAAGAAAATGTCCCTTTCCTTAAGGGTTAAATGAAGTAGGACAGATCTCAGTAAAAAAAAATCCAGAATGTTCTTCCCCTCAGCCATTAAAACTCTGCTCACCATTTTCTGTTTCTTGAGAGCTTTGTCCTGAGCCCCTGAGGTCTCTGGTAAGAAACACTTTAGAAAACACAGAAGCTGGGGCAGGTTTCTGGCTTTCTTGTATTTTTTTTTTCCTCTAAGTCATTTCCCAAAACTTCTTAAAGTCCTCATGTTATACAAAGTGAAGATTTGTTCTCTTGCAGCGCTCCTCAAGAAGTTTCTCCCTACAGAAGTTTTCACTACTGTTGCTGTTTGGAATTGGCTCAGCAGACGTAAACAGGGTCATCTGGGGCCAAAGAGGGTGGGTGTTTAGTTTTAAAGCTCCGGGGTTAAGAGTGAAAGCATGTGACTCCAGCCTGGCCAAAAACAGAGAAGCCTTTGTGTGCAGGGAGCAGGCGACTGGCAGTCCAGAGGCCAAACACAGGGGAAGCTGGAAGGGGCACTCTCACAGGTTTCAAGGGTCTGATAGGATACTACTGTGGGGAGGTTAACTCTTTGTGGCAAGCATGGGGAGGGCTTCTGTTTGTGGCTCAGGATAGAGCAAAGAATGTCAAAAGAATAAATGAAGCTTTCTTGGCTTGCAAAGAGACACACCTTCTCCTGTAGCCCGTGTTGAGATAAAGCAGGCTAAAGCAACTGGAAGCAAGAGCCATTTCCGAGGGGGAGCTTTTGGTAGATTATCTGATAGAACTTCCTTGGAGTCCTAACATTTAAACACTGCAGGCTGTTTCTGTGCCAAATGCTTCCCCCAGACTCCTCCCTCTTCTTGTCCTGGATGGCTGGGATGAACTGGAGAAGAAAACGGGGAAGCCTGAACCACATCTCACCCCCACTGGCCCTCCTCAGGAGGGAGAGGGTGGTGGTTGGTAGAGCACTATCACAGGGAAGCTAGAGGGCTGCGGACTCAGCCCACCCTGCCTGCACCCTAAGGCGCCAGCAGCCCCTTGGCAGCACCATTCACCAAGGTGCTAGGGACCCACGGACAACCTGGTGAGCTTGGGCTCTGCTCACAGCCAACACTGTGCAAGGCAGGTGGCCCTGAGCATAGCCCACGATCCTGCACTGCTTGTAGCCCAACTGTCCCAGAGCCAGTGTGCCCTTTTCCCAATCCCACCTCTGCCCAGAAACTGCTGCACTGAATCTTACTGAAGTGAGCAAGTCAAGTTTCCTGAAAGTCTGCAGAATCTGACTTCCAGACTTGGCAGGGAAAGGAAAAGGAAACAGAGTTCATTTTGCCACTCAGAGCCTGAACCCATGGGAACCCTCAGGAAGAGTTCAGAAATAAACATGGCAATGGATGGCATCTCTCCCTGAACATCATCACACTGGTACTCATACCATTCCTCCAATTCTCATTTGTCACTCCTTCCTTCCACAAAGATTTCTGAGCATCTTGCAAGTATCAGGATTTTTTGCCAGATAGTGGGGATACAGTGGTGAATGAAGCAGACCAGTTCCTGCCACCAGGAGTCTTTAGTCTATCCAGAAACTCAGAGCCATTCACATATCGATGCCATTGGGGTCAACAAAATGGTGATTTTGTACTGGATAAATGGTGACTTCCAGGGGTGAGAGGTGGTCATGATGGTAAGAAATCTGGTCTTAAAGGCAGGTTTCAGTTTCCCAAGTCAAAGAAATGTCACCAGCTCTACATTTCAGGAAGGGATCCCCCAAATTATGTATGTGGAATGGCAATAAGCAGCAGCAGACTGGGGCAGTACCAAGCCTGGTGCTCAGGTAAGAGGTTCACTGACCCAAGGTTTGATTTATCAGACTTGGCGGCTGATGGATTTTTCAGCGGTCATTGTTTAAAGCAGTCCCCAGCATGTGCGTGTGTGTGTGCGTGTGTGTGTGTGTGCACATGCGCGGATACAGTACCTCTGATATCTGTACCCAGTGCTCAAGAGCTCTTGGCAAATGTAATGATGTGTTAGAAATGAGGTTGCCACAAGGCACTGAAACCTCTGTTCTTCTAAGATAGAATCACTGGACAGACCTCTGGGCCCACTTAGGTGAATAACAAGAACCTTTTATCAGGGGTGCCCAGAGCTCTCAGGCCTTTGCCCTTGACAGCCATGGGCCACATTGTCTTTCACCTTCAACATCTGATTATCTCCCATGAACTCATGTAGCATGAACCTCCAAGACACCTTCCTCAGAAACCTCTTTCCTCCCTGAGTTTACAGGAAGGCACCCAGGTTCATGGCATCCCCTTCAAGCTGGATGAGATAGAAAGGCTACAAAGACAGCTGTGGCCACAAATACCCTGTCCAGGCTGGGATGGTGGCCTCTGGAAGGACAAGACCATTGTCACAGCCTCAGTTTCCAAGTGCACTGGTGAAGAAGCATGCATCTCTGAAATCAAGAGCAGTCCATTAATACAAGTGCCTGCAGAGGCTGCACCACCCTCCTTCACAGGGCACGCAAGGGTGAAAGGCAGAAGAGGCAGAGGTGACTGCTTGTCATATGAGCAGAGCCAGCAGCGCAGTGAGGAAAGCTTGCTTTGTTTCTAAATTTTGTAGTACTCACTCTTTCACTTTTTCCTTTGCAAGAAAACCATAGTCCTTAAACCTGAGGACCGCGTGACAAAGAGACTCAAAAAATTGCTTGAAATCTTACATAAAAATTCTTGAATCTCTGTATATTTTGTGTCTTTCCCCAGGGAGAGGATCCATGTATACTTTCAACAGAATCCCCAAAGAGTTCAAGACCCAACAAAGAAACTACTAAACAAAATGCTGGGCGAGTCACAGATAGACTGTTTGGTCCTGCTTCCGTTGGCAGACAAGGACACCAAGGACCAAAAGCTGAGGTTGCTCCCTTGCCCAAAGTCACCTAGCCAGTTAGTGACTGAACCAGCTTTCAGACCCAGTCTCCTTAATCTTCATCAGGCAGGATTCCCACTGCTTCCTAGCAGTTGGATTTCTTACAGGACGTGATTTTGAGGACAGAAATCGTGTGACCTGTTTCTTTCAAATCCCTGCATGGTTTCAAGTGGGGTCTTGCCATGGCGAGGGACTCAGCCTGTGCTGTTGACTCGTCAGTGCACCTTGTCTTCTCTCGCAGGCAGGGTTCGGTAAGCCAGCGACAGATGCATCTGCAGGGTAGCATGGAGCCTGGGGACCTTCCCATGGCAGCTATAACAGCATCAAAGAGGATATCACTTGTTACTTACTCTCACCTTCCCTTTAGGGCAATTCCAATTCCAATTCTAATTCCACTCTGAGCCTCCCCATCTAGAAAGGCAACAACTTTTCCCAGGAAGCAGGGGATTGAGGGCAGAGCAGCTGGGCTCAGTGGTCTAGGCGAACTGGTTCCAAGACCTCCTGTAAAGCAAACATTACATGAAGTGAAAACTGCCCTTGAAAACCCTTTCAGACACCCATGATGTATGATGAGCAGATGTAGCACTGCTCAGGACATCCTAGGCAGCCGGCTCTTCCTTCAGGTTGGAAGTTCTGTTGCCACAGTTGAGCAGCAGAGGAAGCTGCTGACATGTGGGACCATACTGCAACAGGAATCAGCATATTGCTGGTGCAATCGAAGCCCAGAAGGGCCTGCCTTGCATGGTCCCATGTCACACTCACTCCAGACACCACATGTTCACTGAGTAGAGGCCGGGAGACCCGACTGTTGTACTCTATCACTATGTACATTTATGTCCCTCTCCTTTTCCTCCTCTCCCACCCTCCCCTCCCTGTCCCCCATTGAGCTTGTGTAGTGGACTTCGTGTAGATCAAGTGGGTGCTCCAGGAATCTCCACCTGAATACTAACCTCTCAATATGCTGCCACCTTAGGCTGCCACCCTGAATTCCTGACCCACAGAACCTGTGAGATAAATATTGGTGGTTTTAGGATGCCACATTTTGGAATGATTTGTTATGCAAAATACAAATACAAGAGAACAAATATGGAATACTAATTCAAGGGTGTAGCTGGGAAGGCAGGCTAAGGAATGTTAGACTTGACCCAGTGGAGCATGCTTTCCAGAGGGGAATGACGGGCTCAGGCCTATCTTTTTTTAAAAAAGGCCCTCTGGCAGCTGAGAAGGTGCTCTGGAAGGGGCAAGATTGGCCATGAGACCAGTCAGGGGATTCTGCAGTTGTCCAGGCAAAAAGACTGACATTAAGAGAAGGTGGCAGAGATAGAAGATAGGTGCAAGAGACATTTCCGAGTAAAAATAGTCAAAGGCTATTGATCAGCTGCATGCAAATAATAACAATAAAGGTAGTATTATTAACAGCTAACATTTATTGAAAACTTAATATATATCAAGTACTGCTCTAAGCATCTTGCACATATACTCACATTTAATGCTCACAACCATATGAGGTAGGCATTATTATCTCATTTTACAGATGAGGAAACAGAGGCACAGACAGATTCTGTGACTGGCTCAATGGCACTCAGCTGGTGAGTAGCAGAGCCTGGGTTCCAGCTTGGGCAGCTGTGCCTTTAACCCCCCCCCAGACTTCCTCTGGAGGGATTAGAGAGAGAGGGAAGGAAGCAGAAGACAAGGGTGAGCCCGCTCTCCAGCCTGGGAAGCCGACTGCAGCCACACTGAAAGTAGGGGCAGATGAATTGAAAGAAAGACATTTCTATCACCAATCACCTAATTCCCTGTGTACCATTGGGGCTGCTTAATGAGCTCAACTACAACCCAGCACGTGAAATGTAGAATAACATCCGGATGTGGCACCAGGCCCCACTTCTACCACACTCCAGTAAAAATAAACTCTCTGTCCAAATATAGAGTGGTTAGAAGTGCCATGTTTTACAGGAGAAGAGGCAGTTATTTGGCATTAAATATAGACAAGTTTCGGCTTCCCCACCGATCTGGGTGAGAGCATAGCAGTTTCCAAATGGAAACCCATATGAGTGGGGTAAGGCCCCCTCAGACTGACTCAGCTGTTTAAAAGGCCCAAATAGAAAATAACGTCCCCTTTCTGGGCCTCTTCCACATGATGAAGAGCTAAGACAACATAATCAATGTCACTTCAAAGTCGCACTGTCTATAAGTATAGGTACAAGAGTCCGAGGCTGTCCTCAGAGAGCTGACGGCTTCCTAAATCAAGGGCGCCTGGCCCAGGCAAGGCAAGTTGGCCTTTTGGCTCACAGTTTACTGCTGATAGGACCAGTAGCGGTTTTTTCCAAGCATTTTTCAGAACCCTGTCAAGTGCTTTAAATTATCCTTTGAGTCAGACACATTGTTAATCCCCAAAGAAAGGCAAGTGAGGACTACCTCTAGCATACCTCCTGAGATGCTACCTTGATAAAAAGGAAACTGCAGCCCAGTTTGACACGGGTGGGGGGCTGCATGGAGGGGCTGCCAGGACGCTGTCTGTCAGTGAGGCTGCCATCACTGAGTGCCCTCAGGGCAGGTCCTTTGGGGACACTCCCTTTAATCCTGCAAGGCAGACACAGCTGTAATTTACACAGGGAAGAATGGAAGGCTCAGAGAGGTTACACAACTTGCCTTAAGTCATTCACCTGACAGAAGCTAGAACCAGATCCAAATCCCTGTCTGGGCTGGTCTGGATTCAAAGCCTGTGTCTTTCCCCCTCACGAAACTCTGCTGCGCTGTTTACTGTGTGGTCAGAAGGGCCCCTCTGATCTCCAGGAGGGGAAAGGAAGTCCTGATGAAAGCCAGAAGCCTTGGAGGTAACTCGGGAAGGCAGCTGAGAAACGAGGTAGAAGTCAATTCCCTAACCGATCCCCATGCATTTTCATCACACCTTGAAAAAGAAAGATCAGCTTTGCTTTAAATGGTTTTATTAAAAATTGTACCAGTTGATGGGGGAAAATATACACATACATATATGCATGTGAAAAGACACAAAGCTAAACACTCTGTACAGATTAAAAAACAATGGGTTCCCATCCCCTCCCTCTCTTTCCCTGTCTCTCTCCCAGAGGCAGAGTGCCTAGAACCCAGGAAAACTAACCTGGGATGAACAAAATGCTACATTCTCACTGGGTCTCACCCTGACAGTCCCTGTAGACCCAGAGATGGGGCAGCGCATTGGGCAATGCTCACAGAGCAGGGAGAGGAGAGGCGCTGGCCACCTCCTCAGAGCGAGGGGATGTGCAGACCGGGCAGCCTGCACAGGATCTGAGCACCTCCAGCCCACAAGGCTGGCCCATCTATGGGAGAGCTCGGCTTTCTCTGCTATTCCCTCAACACCCAAAGTCCCCACCAGCCCTAAGGTGCCCACTGCCCACAGTGTTCCAGGAGGCATCACAGGCTGATAGGTTAATCCCTTCCTGGACCAAGTCCAGCCAGGGTGGCCTCCCACCAAGAGTCCCACCTACGCATGGCGGGACCCTGCAGCTCTCTCTGGGCTGGGCTGTAGCACTGTTTCACAGAAGCCCCATGGAGCCCTGGCAGCTGAAATCTAACTGCTTCTGTCATTCTCTACTCTCCCTACCCACCTCTTCATCAAGTCCTCTAAATGGGACAAGCTCTCAAGCTCTTGGCATTGCTGACCAGGTCAGTCACAGTGACCCAATGGAGGCCCTGGATGGACCATCCCAAACAACCCTCTCCCTCCCCATGCTCAGGCCGGGGACACCCTTGGACAGGGCTGGGCTGCTGGGGATAGTGAGGCAAGGCAGCTGGGCCCCTCTGAGTGCTCGGAACATGCCTGCCTGGAGTTTGGACACAGACCCATTCCCTTGGGGCTCAGGGAGGCAGAGAGGTGATCTCTTTCTGCCTCGGACTGAGCAAGCAAGAAAAGGCCATGGGGGCAGTTCTTCATCAACCCAGACTTTAAAGCAGGCAAAGGCAGGGAGGCCAGGCTAGTCCTCCAATGGCCCTGGTGGGGTCAGAGGTCAGCCTGAGGGGTTCTCCCAGTCCTATCTACTGGCTTCCAGACACAGCTATTGGGGGTTCTGAATTAGAAGGGCTGTTTTGAGCCTGAACATCAAGCTTCCCTTCCTCCAGGGCATTTCTACAATGGGGAGGTTTCCAGTACCTCTCCCACCCCCACCCTCAGCAAACCACAAAAGCTCCAGAAGTCTTCAGTTGGTTACAGGTCAGGAGCCAGGTCAGACTCTCCCTCCCTCTAAATCTGATTCTCCACCCACTAACTAGAGACAGCCAAGCTCCTGGGGGTGGGGGATGGGGGAAAGGGGCCCAAGGGGAGGGACACGTCTCCTGAGGCTGGACTGGAGGAATGTTCAGACCCACTGGCAGAGGGGGAAGGGGCCAGTCTAGATCATTAGGCCAATTAAAAACAGCCAGTCGGGAGGAACCTCTCTTCTCTCCCTTCTGGGACTGTTCTGCCAGTCACCTCCTGGGTTTTTGCATGGAGGGGGAGGAAGGGAGTTCTAAATTTTACCCTGGCTTGCAGTGAGTTACTTTGTGGCTTCACTTAAGATGGAGACAGTGTAGTCAGATCACACTCCGCCTAGCCCCAGGCAAAATGTTCAGGTGGGCTTGTCCAAGTCTGGGCTCAGTTCTCAGCACAGGCCACAGGACATCCCTCCCCCTCCCGGGCCAGGCAAGGTCTCTGCAATTGATGGCTTTGCCTCAGCACCAAGGCCCAGTCCACTTACTTGCTCTCTCACTCGGCTCAGGTGGAAAATCTGTTGAGAGGGGTTAAAGGTGTCTGGTAGAAATAGTCCTGGTTTCCTTGTGTGTGATACACAAACACATACCAGCAGCCTGCCTATCACAGTCCAGGAGAGGGGAAAACAACACATGTCCTATGCACATCATAAAATGGTGTGAAGACATGCAGAAAAATCCAGATTTCATAATGATCATCGTGTCCCAGAGCCAGTCTTCACCTGTTTCCTGGGCTCCCTCTTGTGAGCAGGAACCCATCTTCTTAGCAAATGATGGTACACACCCTGAGAATATAATTCTGGCAAAGAGGTAATACCTCCAGAACATCCAAGCAGAACAAAACAAAGGCTTGCGCACAGTTTGAGGTCCTTTGCCTCAGGGCCACTGTGAGCCCACCTTTGTGCAAATATAAGAAAAGCTCCCCTTCCTCTGAGCAGATATAGCCCTACACTAGGGCATATAGCTTAGGAAGCAGAGCCTGGGCTGGATCTTAGCTTCCATTATCTTCCTCTGCAGGTGCCCTTGTGCAGTGAACAACCTGCCTGACTGTACATCCAGAAGAGCACTGCCTCCCTCAGCAGTACTGAAGGTCTCCTCTACGCAGAATTGGAGGAGCTTGGGCTTGTTCAGATTTGTGAGTCTACTCGGGACTCCTCCAATTTCCTTGGGTAGCCCCAATGTCTTCTATGACCAAGCAATCTTTTCTTTGTGCCTTGCTTCACTGTTAGCACCAAGGTTATCTTTTCTTACATATGCAAAAATTATAATTTAATTTCTAGGTGTCTGGTTAACAGAGTCCCTGTGTCTTTTCATATTCCCTGTGTCTGCTATCAGAGCTGCCAGACTGGCTGCTTTAAATTCTCTCCATTAGTGCCACAGCAGGCAGAAAAGGGAAGAAGTTCAGAGGCAGCTGTGATCCTGCTGCGTTCCAGAGCACGCCCTTCTAGCCTAGCTGGAAGCTGAAGGAAGCCAGCTTTAACGGTTCTGCTTTCTAATCATTGTCTGTTACTCTAAAAGACACATTTCAGCTGACAAAGCCACTGTGCTGGCTTCTTCCTGTATCCCACTAGGTGTGAAAAAGGAATGGGGATCAAGGGGAGGAGGTATGTTGTCTCCAAGGAAACCAAGGGGTCTGGGTTCCTCTCGGGCTGACTCCTACAGGTGGATGGCCTCCACATTTCCCAGCACCACTGCAATCCTGCCTCTTCACGCCCTAGAGTGCTGATATAGGGTGGAAAGCAGTCTGTCAGCTGGGTCTTTTGAAAGGAGAGCTGAAAAAGGCACAAGCTGCTGGCTGCAGCATGTTGATTGGCTATTTGGCTCATCCATGGTTGATACCCAGCCAGTTCAGTCCCTGGTAGTCAGAGGTGGCAGGGATTCTGCACCCAAGGACCAATCCTGGGGCCTCCAAGTAGAACCAAGTCAGATCAGAGGTCTACCCAGAAGTTTGTTTCATTTTGCAGCACATTTGAAGGGTCCTTGGAGAAACCCAGCCCTCCCTGAGGTCTGCTGGAGATGACAGGGGCTGGGTGAGAATCCCTGAGCCCTTGGGGAGAGCACTAGCTAGGCCAAAGGAGAACCCAGAGATGGAGCTGGCTGACCAGCCTAGCGAAATTGCCATGCTCAGCCTGAAAGCCCCTGGCCGAGGCCCTCGGGGGTTAAAGCAATGTGACCGCAGATCTTGGCCCCATCCATGGTGGAAGGCTGATAGATTTTGCTGGAACCAGGAGTCTAATCCAGTCTCCTATTTGTTAACCAAGTTCCCATGGGAAAACTTCAGTCCACTGACCAGAGAATATCACTACCTGGTCATCTTCAACAACTGCTGACTGTGGAACTACTTGTCAGAGCCTTTGGGAGGTCCCACATCACAGACACATCACCTCTACTTCAACAGTGTTTAACAAAGGCCCTCATTCCTGGTTGGGGCCCTGAACAGGGAAATAGGTCTCTCTTAGATATGTCTTATGTACACGGAGAGGCATTCTAAAAATAAAACAAAACAACAACAAAAGCTTCACAAGACACAGTGTCCATCCACGCCGGCGTCCTTCCTGTGGTGCCCCTGTGAAGAGGGCAGCCCAGCCTCACCTGGGGCCTGCCCCATTCCTGTTCTCGTCTGCATTCAAAGCGAGGTTGTGTAGGAAGAGCAGGATCTGCCACCACACGCGATTTCGGTTCTGCTGGTGCTGAAAGGAGAAAAAAAAAGTCAGTGTAACTCCTAAATGCAGCCTGAGATGACTGCTTATCATTTCCAATAAAAGTTTAGATGGACATGTCTCGGGGTAGCACTTTAATCCTATCAGTACAGCAAACAATGGGGAGGTGAGAGAGGGATGGGAGAAGTGGCAATGAGGGGGAGATAGTTGAGTTCTCCAAAAACAATAGCAGTTTTAACATTAAAAAGAAAAGACCAGGCTCTTTATGCACTGTGCACAAGAGGATTAAACTTTTTCCCCTGCTTGCAGGATTTTCCAGAGTTTAGCCAAGTGCTGCTTTTAATCAGATTGGCTCCTGAATCCCTCTAACCTCAGCTGCATGAACAACAAACTTTCTTCAGAAAGAAAGAGAAGTGCCCCCTCTCTTCCCCCACTCCAAAGTAACACAGAGAACAAGGGAGGAAAGGGGGGAGCCCTCCATCTGCAAGTGATTTGACACTGTGAAGGTCAAAGGGTTAATCTTCAATTTAAACCACACTGCTGAGGCAGCAAAAATCTGATTTCATCCAGTGCAAACACGCACACACAGGGACACACAGACACAGACACACACACACACTTGTGCACCCGCCCTCTCTCCCTTCCCAGCGTCTCCAGCTCAGTGTTGCCCTTTTTATAGCTGCTCTTGACAGTAAGCCATAAATAATCCCTCTTGGAGCGCTTTCCTACTGACTGGAGCCAATTAAACGTTAAGCAAGAACATACTTGAAAACAAAACAAAAACAAAGAATGCACACTACTCTCTGGAGGTTATCCCAGGTCCTACTGTCAGGCAGGGAAGCTGGGAGCAAAGGTCAGAGGTCAGTTGCACACAGGATTGGGCCTGGTGGCCCGCCCACACAGGTACCATTTCCCTGGGGCCAGCAGTGGCCCAGAAGGGTCTGAGGGGTGCTGGAAGAGTGGTTTTTGTTCTTTCTTTCTCTGCCAGGGCAGAAGGGCTGGGCCAGGGCCCTCTCTACTGGGTTCTCAGTAGACAGGTGAATAAAACCCAGTGTGCAGAAGGGAGCCAGCACAGGCTGCACTTGGATTGCTGCAGTGACCCAGGCGGCAAGCACATTTATGTGAACTGTCCGGGGACAAGGCAGGGGGGCCGGAGCCCTTGCTTAGGCTGTCTTTAACCACAGCCCCGGCCGGGCGGCCCCCACCAGGCAACTCCCAGTCAGATGAGAAGGGGACAGAGCAAGCCAGCAGCAGCGCTGCAAAGTGAGCCCAGCTGCACTCCCAGAACTTTGCAGGCACAGCTGGCCTGGCCTCCCTGACCTTTCCCCAGGCAGCAAGGTTGCTGGGGTCCCTTTCACCCTGCCTTAGGCCACAAGGAGAAGATAGGCGAGAGGTCAACTGAGGCTTCGGGTCCCGCCAACCCAGGTGAACAGAATGCCCTCTGTCTATGGCAGTCACATTCCTCTTTCGCCTGTGGAAGTGAGACTTGAAAACACCACAGAAAGCTGGAGGCACCGCTACTGTTAGGAAGGGAAGGAAAATCGGGGTGTGCCACAGAGGAGCCCTGGCAGACTGTGGCTGGGGAGGCTGATGACTTCCTCATGTTTTGTAAACAAAGATGAGTAAAAAGAGGAAACACACCCAGCTTAACAAAACCTGGTTAGAGTAAAGCAGCATGAAAAAGGACTCAGCTGTGAACCTGAAGAGTCAGGCCTGCCTGCAGCAGCTGGGCAAAGCACCCCCTCCTCCTGCTTCCCTCCCCAGCTGCTGCCCAGGACAGGTGCAAAGGTCATGTGGCAGAACAGGAGGAAAATCCAGGAAAAGACTGGTCCCTGGAGAGGCCAGTCTGCTAGAATTCCAAGGTTTCTCAGGTGCCTGTTTGAAAAGGCCAAGTAATAATAGCAACCACATTCATAACAGTAAGATTAACATTGAGTGAGCCAGGCTGTTCTGAGTGCTTTACAGCCTCGCTTCTCAAAGTGTAGTTCTAGACCAGTAGCCTCAGCAATATCAGGGAGCTTATTCGAAAGGCAGACCATAAATGTGCATTTTTAACAGGATCCCCAGGTGACTTGGCAACACATTAGAGCACGAGAAGCACAGTTCTATATACATTAAACTCCTTTGGTCCTCTCAACAGCCCTATGAGGTACATCTATATTACCATCCCCATTTTACAGATGGGATCACTGAAAGAGGTAAGTAGCTTGGCGACACAGCTGTAAGGGGCAGGGACTGGACTGGATCCAGACCCTAGAGCAATGTCCTCACGCATTACCACTGTGCTCCAAGTACCACCACGTACCTTTTCTTTATATTAAATCAGACTCTCCACCCTCCCCTTCTCCAAACCATCTCAGAACAGCTTAGCATCTAAGGAAGGGAGATCACAAGTCTATAATTTAGGGCCTGGGCCAATCCCACCTCTGTATGCTTCAGTTTCTTCCCCAGTTCCCCTCCTGGAGGAGAACTACTTGAAACCTGGGTAACTTCCTGGGCCCTGATGTCTCTGGGGATGAGGCAAGGCAGCACCCTCACTCTCATCATTTAGGGGTGTTGAAAGACCCAGAAGCCACTGTGGGCCAGAAAGCACTGTCAGACGGGAAGGCTGAGGTCTTGCTGAGAGACACAGGCAGGCCGAGGTGCAGGAGGCAGGGCACACGGACCCACCCTTGGAAAGGACCCAGGTTCTATGTGTGCCTCTGCTGTGACGGGCCTTGGGGCTCATGGATCATCAGGGAAGGCACTGGAGGGTGGATGGCTCCCTGAGCCAGGAATCGGAGGACCTGGCCGGGGGCTCCCATCAGCCCATCTGCAAGTCCTCACTTTCCTCATAAGTGAAATGCAGGTGTGTTATTAGATCAGTGGTTCCCAAACCTGACTGTGTTCTGGAATCCACTGAGATACTGTTGTAAATAGAGTCCCCAGGTCCCGCCCAGACCAACTGGATCAGAATTTCCAGGGAATATGTATATTGCTCAAGCTCCCTGGGTGACATTAAGACCAGAAGTAAAATTTATTGTACATTTTAGTCATAAAAGTAGTATATGTTAACTCTAGGAAAATTAGAAAATACAAGAAATTAGAGAGGAGAAAATAAAATCACTCATGATCCTAGAAGGAAATATGTCATAATTTGGTATTTTCTACAGTCTTTTTCAATCTCTTCCCCCCAGAGTAATGACCTGGCCAAGCCAGAGGTAAATCCTGCCCAGGTGGTTCACAGGTAGCCAGGCCACAGACAGGCATTTAGAAACCACTAAGGTGCTTTCCAACCCTACAGTTTGGTGATTCGGAGTTCGTCATCCACAACTACTTTCAGGATTACGGCTCAGAGCTCCAACAACTGATTCTCATCAGTCAGCCTGGTGGAGGGTCTGGGTGGGCCTGGAGAACAGGTTGCCTCTTACAGTTAAGCAGCAGCTGTGAAGCCAGCAAGGGCAGGGCCTGGGAAACCTGTCCACAGCCCCTGCAGCCCTTCCTCTAGGTACAAGCAGAGGCCACACATACTCCACTTAGCCTTCTCCTGTCACAGGACAAGCCCCAAAAGGCCCTTTTCTGAAAGGAAACCAAGCAGCCTCCTACCAAGAGAATCAAAGAATGCCCTTTATTATGTGGAACAACAATAAATATTTTTTAAAAATTAAACAAAAGGGCCTGAATAGAAAGGAAAGAAAAAAGGACTTGAAGGGAGGCCGGGGAGAGAAACAGCAAAAAGGAAGGAAACCAACATTCACTGAACAGGATGAGGTACACAAAGACACCAGACACCAGAGGGCACAGACCCTTCCAGGAGAGGGTGTGGAGAAGGGGAGAAGGAAGGGAGACTGGGAAAGAGCATGCGGGCTCTGACTCTCAGGCGCTTGGCACAGCACCTAACATAATTCGAGCTCAGTGAAAGCAAACCCTGGGGCAAGACTCTCTGGGACTCAGCTTGAGCACCCCTTAAAGTGGGGGAACCTGCAAAGAGTGGGGGTTCCCAGGATACATATTCAGGGTGGCCAACAGGCATAGTTGTACAGAGGAGGGGAAGCTGGTGGGAATTTTAGCTTACACCAGAAGCCCTCAAATTCAGAGTCTAGACAGTAGGACTAAGGCGTGGAGGGAAACAATGGAGGTGAATGGCCCAAGGGAAGGGGTCCTGGCATGGTGGGTAAAAATATCCTTTTCTGTTAAGAGGATACAACCAGGCATTAGACTTAGGTTTCCTGTTTGACTCAGTCCCACTTTCTTGCTGTGTTCAGGGGATGAAGGCCATCAGTAAACAAGTGTTTAAGTCACCCCCACTGTGACTGAATGCATGGTCGTTCATCCTGTATAACAGGGAACATGCTGGGGCATACAGTAGGTACTCAATAAGAGCACACTGAACTGACTACAGAAAAGTCAGTCTTGCAAGATAACCCACTTGTCTGAGGCCAGAAACAACTGATGTCTGGCCAGGTCTAAAGATGGACTTGATGTGATGTTATCAGCCCCCTGCCTAGAGAGAAGCTCAAACAGTAAAAGGCATTTTTTGTTGCTTTTTTTTTTTTTAAAGAGCTGGCAGTGGTGTCTGATGAGGTTGGATTACACAAATTAAACTCTGTTTCATCCCACGTGGTCTCTGCCTGAAGCACAAAGAGTGCTCCCTGCCCTCAGACAAGACTCTTCCTCTGCCTCTCCCCCTTTGGGTCCAGCTCACACCCTCTAGGGGATCTGTGTGTCACCAGTGTTCCAGATGCTCCAGCAAGAGCTAATTCACCCCAAAACACAAGAGGAAGGAGCAAGACTACATGGAGGCTCTGTTTTAAATGAACCCTACCAATTTATCAAACGGATAGCCATTTATATTATCTCACTTAAAACAAAGTGCTTTCCTGTTTTCCCATTTGCTCCTCACAAAGATCTGGGGCAGGTGTTATCAATCCCATTTTACAGATGGAGAAGCAAAGGCTCAGAAAAGTTACCCCAAGCAAGTTAGTTGTGGGAGGGAGGTTATTTGGACCCCCACATTCTGACTCCTTTCACTAAAATACTGCAGTGCCTTT